ATTTCACTACACCCAGATGTTTATTAGGGCTACTTTAATTTAAAAAGGAACTCACAGCTATAAAAACCCTCTTCTATCCCACATCATAATTTAATAATCTGACATTACAGAGTTGCCAGAACATCAAACACTGAAAAAACACAATTTACTGAGTCTGCACTGGGGTCAGGAGCATCATGGGATTTGTCGCAGACTACAGACTACTTTTTGATGTGCTTTTACTTTTTCTCTTTACTTTTGTCTTTTGAGAAGTTACACTCCCCGTCAGTGGCTTGAAGCTGTTATGTAAACTATTAAAAACAAACTTTGAAAAAAGGTTGGCGTATTTATTCACTGCGCCTTGTTTAGCCGGGGTATGTGTACATTTTCTTTTATATTCGGTTGCCCTCAGCGTGCCACAGCTGATGCGTGCACTTCATCTGTTCACCCAAACCAGGCGAGGTGAAAGCCCAAGAGACCATGACAAGAGAGAACATGAGAAGTTTATGTGACAACGCTAGACTATAAAATGACAAATAAACAACGTTAAAGGAAGTCGAACACGTATATGTCAAATTAATGTTTGGATTAATGCTTTAATATTCTGTATGCAAGAGCCCCGGCTGTCTGAGAACGGCGCCCTAGCTCCCTCTGGGCCTTCACATTAAACATCTGAGGCAGAAGCAAAACATTAGAGGAAGTAAAAGGAAGATTCTAGGGACCTTTTTAAAAGTGGAGAAAAAAATGGTGAAAACATAACTATGTGTCACAGAGACAATTAAGGCCCTGCCAGCAGACTGTGAGACTGATCCCCTGCAGTGGAAGCTACATGAGGTCAACTCTCTCAGGTCTGCCAGTTGGCCAAAAAACGCTTCTATATCCCTGCCCTGCTGAGAGGGTTTTTAACATTTATGGCAACACTGCCATTTGTCATACAGCAGGTCAGCAGTGCAGCCAGAGTCAGCGAACAGGCTTGTTTTCTGGCACATTACCTCAACAGTGATGTATGGGCTCACCAGGGCTACTTTGCCTTATTTAAAAAGTCAGAGATAGCCGTTTATCTTTTTGGTGTATATGTTTAGGGACATGGTGTGTTGGTTAAGGTCATTCGGCACTGGAGCAATGGTTTCATCTATAAAAGCAGCTTTTAAAATGTATATCAACAGACAGTATATGTTATACACAATTACATTCTGGTAGGATGCACTATATTAGAACTCAAACATGTTTGTATTAATGTGTTAAGTTTGTTTAATGGCAATACAAACCCCATATTCCCTATTTGTCCCACAGTGGGGAATTCACTGAGTTTAATTTGCCCCATATTCCCTATTTGCCCACAGTGGGGAATTCACTGAGTTTAAATTCATTTCTTTTCAAACATGTGGCGGTAAACATGACATTGCTGATGTCATGTGACTAGAATAGCACACACATGAAGTTATACTGAGTGTTTACTAAGTCTCCTGGGAGGAGGTCGAAGGAGAGCTACTACACAGATGACTTTCTTCAACAAGGAAACAACCTGTGTAGAGGTGGAAGAACCTTTATGTCATGTGGTGACATCAGAGTCACACGATCATGGATGTTAAGTTTCTTCAAATACGTCCAGCACTCACTAAAGATTTAACACAACCACACCTTACTGACCGCAAACAATGGGTCACCTTGGCTTACAAACAAAAACAGTAGTGACAGTCTATAAGAACAGAGCACGATCAAGACCGTGGAATTTGGTCAGGAACAGAGACTGCCGAACGTGAACTAAAGGAGTTCAGACGTAGTTGGCACCTAAAAGGGCCTAGTGATTTAATTTTGATACAGAGAGATAGAGGAAGAAACTGAACAAAGTGTTAGAGCAGGCCAAAAGAGGAAAATCACATTAAGCTCTTGCCGTCTTGTCCTTTATGTCTGCGATGTCCTATATAGAAGCTATTATTTCAGTATTTGAAGGTAAAACTTACCTGACAAGCAAAAGCCATTCAGGGTGACTCAGTGTAGTCTGGATACCATTTAGTGTGACAGAACATTTGTTTCAGTGCTCGCACCATCATGTTTATCTCATATTCTAAAGGAAAGTTGTATACACTGGGAGTTGTTGTAGGGATAAACCTTCACTTAAGACCAAGACGCCACAACAATTACTTTGCACATAACACCTCTCTGCCTCTCCACAGACGAGCTGTAAAACACTGATTTAGTGTGAAGACAGAAAAATAAGAACCAGAAGCAAAAAGAATGCTGTGTGGTGAGACTAAAACTGACGCTAAAAAACAACAGGAGATTGAAGGCTGCTTTTAAACTACAGGTTGACAGAATTATACCCCGGGGGCCTGTCTCCAGTTACACACTTATAAATAAATACATATTTTAGCATAATATACAGAGATTTATGTGAGAATCACTCGGTTTACTTACCAGAGGCTGCAGCAGCGATGCACGGAAGCAGGACAAACAGCAGCATATGACCCTCCATGTCTGTTAGGTTTAAGTTTGAGGTTTCGGTGGAAGCCGAGTCTGTGTCCTGGGGGTCGAGAAGGTACTCGGAGGAAGTGGGTGAAGCGTCCTTGTCAAGCAGCAGAGCGGCAATGACTTTGGAAGTGGAAGAGCAGACACCAGTTCCTGTTTGGAAAAAAAATTACTTAATAAGTGCTGTAGAGGAGAAGACTAAGACCAACATCAAACTGTCTTAGATACTATTTGTGTTTTATAATCAGTGTAAAAATCGACAACAAACAAACAAGCAACTCCGGGAACTCTGTCTGCTTCTATCCGGGTTTAGACTCCAAAAGCCCAAGTATATTCATTTTTTCAATATTAAAAACATGAAGTATAATTTAACATAAATGGGATCATTAATACTGTATATCTGACACTGACAGGGGCTATTGATTGATTAATGCCTTTATATTTACCCAAATGTATCTTTGCATGTTCCGTAAGCACAAGAAAGGTCAGAACCCAAAGGTCATCTTGTGCTCGCTGACTTTTGGCAGGAAGTGCTACAACCCAGCTTTCATCCATCCATATTACAATGAGAAGATCTGATAAGATGTGCCTTGTTATATGATTTTCATAGTTAGAGGAACGGAAGAGCCCATGTAAACTGTTTAGGCATTTCAGGGGAAGACCAAAAAGTGTTTTTTCCTGGATTCCTATTGGAGGTACTGTATGTATGTAAGGGCCTGTCATGGAACAAGGTACATGGCCCAAGATTTCTTTCATAAAACTATTTTATGATATTTATGAAGTTTTTATGAGATTTAATGAAAGCCATCTTAATTTCCATGTTTTTCTATTAGCTTAGTTTGAGATCTTTAAGTCACTTTTGTCCTTTATGGCCTAGATTTTAGTTCTAAGTCTAATGTTGTCATTTTTACTTTATATACAACACTTTGTAACCTTTTTGTTACTGAGCATTACTTCATCAGTACTGAGTAATACGAGCTGCTTGTTTAATACAAAACTTCCCAAGTGACATAATATTAATAAAAAAATGCTGCTCCGTCAAGTTCTATAACATACAGTAACAGAAACTCTTCTTACCTTCACAATTGCACCCACTTGAACATCAAGTGTCACCCATTCAAAAAGAAAAGCATTGCAACTAAGAACTTCGTTCTTGTTAACTGGTTTTATTTTTAGAACATACTTCCTGTGCGCTTCAGGCAAGTCCATGAGGCCGACCAGGTGGTCGCGGGCACCACATTGGTGACCCCTGATTTACATGAACACTGTAGGATTTAGAGACCTTAACGTTAAGGTTAGAAGCTGTGATTAAAACCATGTAGAGATCACAGGGTTGTAGTAAATTATCAAGAAAACACAGAAGTATTATGTTTGTCTGCTGTTCGTAAATGTAAATATGTTGTAATTCTGCATGGACTTCTCCGTAGCTCCTGGCGTAAAGATTGGGTTTAACAAACAGGACATGTTGGTAATTAAATAAAAGTAATGTCACTGTCAGTGAGGCTAATTCATTATATTTTCTCTGTCAGTAAATGAAATTATACACAGTATTTTTACAATGACTTACAGTTTGTTTGTAGAAGAAAGTAAGTAATGCAAACCGATTTTTCACAATTTTTATGTAGTAACAATGGCTAACTGGCTAAATGTATATAGTAAAAAATTAAACACATTAGCCTGGTTTTTATTTTGTTAATGATGTAAACAGTGTCTCCTTTACTAAATACAATTCAATTTTTTTTACTGAATTTCTGTTACACACAACTATAGTCATCAAGTGTCCGTTTGGAAAAACCTTTACCTCAACTTTTTATATTTTCAACCTAATTCATATATAAAGCTTACGAAACACAACTACAAATTAAATTAAATTAACGAGTCTGAAGAAGTAATGTGGGTTTAGATAGTTTAGTTGTATGGACGTAGTTAATGTGACATTCAATAACGGTTAGTTGTTTGTTTTTTTATTAAAAAAAAAAAGATTCTTTGAGTAAATGTTCCGCCTTCTCCTCCCTTCTATTCTACTGAGTAAAATAAAACAAACAACACATTCCTGTTACTGGGTGACATTTTTGAAACACAGCGGTTTGTCGTAAAACTTACTTTTGTTGTCGAATAAGTTGTTATCTTCTTCTTCTTATAAAACAGCCTCGATAATCCACAGATGTAGAGCAACAGCAGCAGCAGCAGCAGCAGCAGACTCAAAGCGAAGTAACGGTGTCCGGAGTTTTTCCCAAACTTTTTGAGCTGCTGCCCTGGGCGGCGCAGATTGACTTTATTAGCCCGCCCACCATTACCAAAAGTACCGGCCATTTTTCTCCCCGTCAGAGGAAATACACCGCCCCCGTCTTTGAAAGGTTATCTCACAAAATAACTGTAAATGTTTTTACAAATCGGCACCTAACTGTAGTTTAACCATAAAGTTAGCAAGAGTTGCTGTGATAGATAGATAGATAGATAGATAGATAGATAGATAGATAAATAGATAGATTATGAAAACAAGTAGCAAGGGTAGCAAGGATTAGCCAAGTTTAGTTTATTTTGGATAATAATTGTGTGGACAAAACCACAAAATGTTGTGTCTTTTTTTGGATAATAAGTGTGGGGACAAAACCACAAAATGTTGTGTCTTTATGTTTTTTAACAAAATTCGACTTTAAATTTTTATGATGTACATTTTCAATATGAAGTTTATGAAACTAAATATTGGTGGTTTTGAACACACCACACCTAGTTAAGGCGGGATTTAATGCCATCTTTTTGTGAAAACAAACCCAAACGTTTTTCCACTGGGTTTTTTCACAGGATTATTTGTACATAATAATAATAATAATAATATGTCACATGTCAAAATGACATTTGTGTCTCTTTAAATTGCAACATTTTCATGATGTTCCTAATAAATCCCCTGTGTGATAGGGACACAGTGGAAGAGTGGTTAGAGCTCTTTCTAAACAGAAGTTAACTGTTTGAATCCATGTGGTAAAATAAGATCTTTGTTTGTGAAGTTTGCATGTTCTCACTGCACATAGGGTTTATCTGGTAATCTGGATTACATGTATGTTTACATTTAAATATGAAAAATACATATATGTTATACTGAAAGTTGCTTTGGTAAACACTGACATCCTCAAAGGATGTAGTTCTCAGCTGTTTCAAAGCCATTTTGTCTTAAAAGAAAATAAACTAAAGGCGTAGACACAACAGCCTTCTGTACAGAGCAGACGCAGATGAGTCATTGTCCTAACAAATCAACTTCGAACAAAGGACAAACGAGCGGCAACAAAGACAAAAACAGACAGAACGGAATGAGGAGCAGACATTAAAATGCTACAAATAACATTTATAACAATTACAGGACTGATGGAGCAGACAAAACTGAACAAACAGCAAGTCGCTCTCCCTCCGTCTCTCTTCTCGTCATTTGTTATACGCCTTAGCAGTAACAATAGCGCACATGTGCTAGTCCTCTTCTTAGTGTGCTATAATTCATTATCATAAAATGCTTTTATTATGTACAAAATATTCGTTTAAGGATGACATGAATTCACAAATTCGTAAAGCAATCTTCAATTTGTTGGGGCAGTGTTGGATGATGGTTAAGGAAGCAGATGTGGGTCCGAAAGGTTTGAGGTTTGAGTCCATGACCAAGTTACCACTGAAGTGCTCACACTGCTCCCTGGACACTTGAGCTCCCCCCTTTTGGTGATGGGTAACAAAAGCAGAGGTCACATTTTGTGGTGTGCTGAATCACAATTACAAGTAGTTCACTTTCCTTTCCTTATAATTTTGGGATGAAATATCCAGATTTATTACACAATTTGTTAATTAAATTTAAAATTTCAATATCAAACAATGACCTCAGTGATAGGGAATTCTATTCTGGTGTCACCTGTTGGCCTGTGTGTTAGCAGTAAGATACAGACGTGTTGATATTCTCCGTGTTTAACTGTGAACTTGCCTCAACCTTGTCCTTTCACGCAGCGTAAACAAAGGGAGGCCCACGGGACACAACACTGAACAGAAAGACATTTACTTTCTTTGTTAATTAGATTGCGCAATCATTTAATACTTTGCTACCCGTATGTTTAACAGCTGACACAGCTGGCATTTGTTTGAAGCACTCCATCACATCTGAGGTTGGCCAAAGGACATTTCTACCAGTAGCACTCTGCTTCAATGGCTTTCCGTTTTTTTTTTTTTATTAGCGCCTGCCCCCTAAACTTGCTGTCCCCACCCAGGAGTAATGTTTCAATAACAGGAAACAATCGGCCATCGTCTTTCATCACAGGCTGACGTGGGTTCCCGCACGGTGCCACTGGGTCTCTGTGGTGCCAGCCAGCCAGTCAGCCAGCCTGCCACCAACCATAGCTGAGGGGAGATAGAGAGAGTAAAGAGTAAGCGCCAACTAGCTTGTTTCCTTATCGTCCTCCAAGGGGGGGTCGGACACATGGCCTTGCAGCAGTAAATGTCTGCGACTGATATGAGCTGAACAGAAACCTGTCAAACAAACTGCAAAAATGTTCATTGTATATTTACTTCACAGTCAGGCATCCAAAAATGAAGCCCGGGGTTGAAAAACAACATGAAAGCAATGTTCATTGTATATTTACTTAAGTAAGGCATCCAAAAATGAGCCCGGGGTTGAAAAACAACATGAAAGTACCCTTTGAGGTAATTTTTGGGGTTGTTTTACGGCAGGGTGGGTCAAGCTTTTTTCAAAGGAGATCTGATTTAGATAGATAAAGAAAAAATATCTAAGGGTTTTCGTTAACTGTTAGCGTTATCCTGCAAGAGTCCTATACATGTAGAATAAATACCTGGTGTTCTGGTTTAAAATCATTGTTTTATATAAATATATTTGCCTTTATTTGGGGCTCAGAAAATTAGAGGGACATTAAGAAAAAAAAAGGGATGTGATGTAAAAAAGTTTAATCTAATCTGATCTGACTGATAATAGTCAATCTCATCTGCTATTTTTAGTTTAAAGGTTTAATGTAGTACCAATCTGAGCTCACACTATTGCAAAGAAAATGTAAGAAGAGAAAATACAGACAGAGGGCAGCATTGCTGCAGCTAAGCACAGTGTATTTCATTAAATAGACTGAAGGAATTCTGAAAGAATACTTGAATAAATTACTTCAAGTATTTGAGGAAAAAAAATTGCTTCAGACCTACAATATACTTTGCTGGTATCTACATGTATCTATTTCCAAAAACATATAGTACTTCAAACATGCTTTTTTTTCCTAGTTGGCAGTACAATAAAACAAACTTCAACTTGAACACTGCAGGTCTGTACTCAGAGGAAATTATTGAAGTACTTAAACTAAACAGCACCCAATAATATACTACAACAGGGTTAAGGTGATTTTTTTTTTTACTCACTTGACTTTTGAAAGCAGATACAAAGTCCTTCACAAACCTCAGGAGAGGAATCAAGACTCGGGCTAATATGATTGATTAGTTCTGCCTGATCGACCTGATGGGTCATAAATAATACGCATTTTAGTCGGGGGCCACATAAAACCTCTCCATGGGCCACGAATTATCCCTGGGATGGACTTTGCTCACATCAGTCCAAAAGTAAAACGTAGATTTGGTAAATTTTTTATTGGACGTGATTTAGCGTGTGACTGTGATCGATTAATGATGCCTTTTTTCTATTATAAAAGCTATGTCTGTGAGGATTTCCAAAACACTCTAGTACCCACGGTTCCTCTCACGATTCCGTAGGGAAAATCTCCTCATGTCTGGATCGTATTTATTAATATAAAAAGTCCATTGTATTGTATTTGGCATTTACTTCCCGTCTTCCTTTAATAAAATCCCTGTGCTGTTCATGTTCTCATGGTGCATGGGAACATGAACATGTTTCCACACAGTATACTACAGCTTCATTACCACAGTATCAAATGATATCACAAACTACTGATACCACAGTAGTTTCACCATGTCAAACACGTGGCCTAGCTCAAACACTTACTCCTCTCTGTGTAATTATCTCTAATTCTCCAGCCACAGTCGGGCGGTACAATTACTTAGTGAGCACAGAGTTTGAATGTTGTTCATTTTTATATGAGCCTCAGTAGAACACTTACACACAAAGATTCAATTTGCAAATATGCAGCATAATTATAAACCCGTCTGGATCATTGAATCTATTCTGAGGATGGCTGCAGGAGGGTTAAAATACACTGCTCACTGTAATGGTGGTAACAGAAATATGTACCAGTGGAGGCCAAGTACTCACAACAACTACTGGGGAAGTACATTTGCTATGGCTGGATGGATGGATGAATGGATGGATGGATGGATGGAGGGATGGATGAACAATGGATGGGTGGATAGACAGTTGGTTGGACAAACCGACGGACAGATGGGTGGATTGCTGGATGGACAGAGAGACAGACAATGGATGGCTGGATGGATGGATGAACAATGGATGGGTGGATTGATAGTGGGTTGGGCGAACCGACGGACGGATGGCTGGATGGACAGAGAGACAGACAATCATCCATTGTCTGGATGGACAATCGACGGATGAATAGATGGATTAGTGGATGGATGGACGGACAATGGATGGATGGATGGACGGATGGATGGATGGATGCACCCCTTCAGAGTTTCTTTTAAGATATTAAGGAGTAAGTTATGAAGTAAATGATTGTGTTTTTTTAGCAATTTTTATAAATTGATTTTTAGTTTACGTATATATTTTTAACCCCATTAAAACACGTTGACACCTGTAGAGACTGGACATCAAAGAGCATCAACTTTAACGTTTTTAAACCTGAAGAATTGAAGTAAAACTTTTTCCTATTACCAGCTAATATCTGTGACGGTAGCGACTTGGTTCGGCAGATTATTATTGGCACGGGCTTTTTTTAGTAAAACACCACCCTTAACATTTTCCATGGTAAATGAATGGTTTTGTAGACATTAAGTGCTTGACATTGTCTGTCCTGTTGGAAATGTCTGGTGAGTCATCAAGAGGAGGATAAAACAATGGAGTCTGAGTTTAAAATAAAGCAAAAAAAAAAAAATTCCACTTGCAAAACTGGAAGAGTTAGTCATCACAGTTCACCAGCACTGAAAACGTGTTCACCAATAAAAACAGTTTGTAGTGAGTACTGGTCACTGAGGGAGGTTGAGGATGGTACGTCCAATAATAATAATAATAATAATAATGTTGAGTGTAATGTTGATTTGTTTGATTTGTTGTTAATTTAGATTCTTCAATATATGTACGGTGCATCTTTTTTTGTCACATGTCAAGACAGGAATCCTAGACTTTATGGGATCTCTTATTCCGTGTGGATGTTTTTTTTTCTTCTGTTAGGTTTGTCTGAAACAATCAAGCTCGACATCCCAGCTTTCTGGAATGCAGCATTAATCCTGGAAGCATGATTCAGATGTCGGTGCACCGGGTTTAGCTCCCACTGTCCTCGCTGACACGTCCGTCCCTGTTGTACGTGATACGTTTCCATGCGCTGCCTCCTTTCTTCACCTTTGTTTTGTACCTTTCTGAGGTAAGCGCAGCATTCCAGGCATTCATGCAGCATCCCTGATGACTTTATGAAAGTTTTTCTTGATTGACTTTCCTACAGACACATCCTGTCTCGCTTCGCGAGGCCCTTTCCTTTTCCTCCTCCCTGCGGCGCGGAGTCATGATCAGAGCTCTCCGTGGAGGTCCGTGCGGATGTACCTGTTGCAGTGTTTGCTTGTGCGAGTGCGGCGGAGTGAGAGAGCGGGGTGAAAGGTAAAGGTAAAGGACGACCTGTGGGTCATGATGTCAAGTTGGAACGGCGATGGGAGCGTAGCTGCGGCAGCCTGTCCTGTATCCTGTTGTGTCTACAGCACATGTTTTGAGGCGTGTTTCCTCCTTCGATTGTTTACTGGTCCGTGGTTGCTGGTTTTTGATGAATGTGTTTCTTTGTGGCTGCTCAGATCACAGCACTATATGATAAGAACACTGGCTGGTGGTACGTTTATGATTCGAGTTTTTTCCACATTCTCAAAGTAAAAAATAAAACTGAATAACAATTAAAATTCAAAGGTTACTCAATAGTGTCTTGCTGATCTTCACCTCATCGGCCACAGCAGTGGAAAGTACTTTACTGGTTTTTATCGGACTATAAGTCGCACTTTTTTTCATCCTTTGGCTGAGTGTGCGACTTAAATATATATATTTTAATGTATATTAAAATATATAATTTTCACACGTTTGTTATTTTCACACTGACAGCCACTAGAGGGCGCTCTACTGAGCTAGGGCGACTTATACTCCGCAGCGACTTATAGTCCGGAAAATACGGTAATATTAAATATTCTTCCTCTCCGGCGTTATGTCGCACCAAAAAGTTTTCATATGAAGAACCAGGATAAATACTTACTTTTCTCATATTTTTATTCTTCCTCTCCGACTTATATCACTTCACAGCAGAGGCCTCAAAGTCCTGGCACGGGGGCCACTTCCTGCCCCCAAAACTGCCAACATGTGGCCCATGACTAGATGTCAATAATGATGTAATTTCACAACAATTCTGTATTTCTTCTTTTCTCTAATTAAAGTGCTTCCGTTTGTTATTTGAGAATGAGAATAAAATATCTGTACTAGCTGTTTGCGTTGCAGTATTTTCAGTGTATTTTGAATAGGTCTGGAGTTTTAGTACTGAGCATCAAATACTGATGTGGACATCAGTATTTCCCCCCCCCCCCCCCCGCCGGTTTGAGACCGCTGTTTTGGAGACATCAATGTCGCGCATTGACAAAAAACTTCAACTTCCTGTTGTTTAATAAACCAACATTATCACAGTGTCTGATTTCTGTCATTTTAAAGACCTTAGAATTTAAGTTTTCATTTTTTTTTCTTTTAATTCTACGTAAGCCCTTAATTCATAATGTCACCACTAGATGTTGCTGCGCCCTACACGGTGTGCCTTTGAATTTGATTAAACACCAAATCCGGACGACAAATGTCAAAGATAAAGAGAAAAGAAATATCTAAAGTGCAAGTTTTCCTCCAGAGTCCAACGGTCGACCTTCGCACTTTTTTTTAACTGAACCATCATCACAGACTGGAGGCGGAGTCATCAGATGAGCTGGTGGCTGGATGAGAAGTTTTTTTGTTTTTTTTTTATACCCGTTCAAATGGAGCCATGTCATTTCAGTAGCTCGTGTTTTTTTTTCCTTATGAATTGTAGGAAAATTAAAAAAAGATCTAATCAAATCAAATGAAACAAGGAGCAGACACAGCCCACGGTGTCATGGTGTCATTTTACTGCAGAGAATCAATGATCTTGGACACCTGGCTGAAGACCTCGTCCACCGGCAGCTCGGAGTCCACCTGGACACACAGGGACACGTGTTACAACATGGGTCAGGATCTTTAGCCAAATGTTGCGTTCGTGTCTTTGCACCCACCTTCCTCACAATACCACGGGCCTCGTAGAAGGTAATGACGGGCTCGGTCGACTTGTAGTACAAGTCCAGACGCTTCCTGATGGTCTCTTCGTTGTCGTCCACGCGGCCGCTGGTCTCGCCGCGTTTCAGGAGCCTCTGGACCATTGTTTCTGCCTTGGCATCAACGTACAGCAGCAGGAAGGGTTTTCCAATCTGGAAGAAATTCAGAAATCATTTACCTCTGCTCTCTCTCTCACTCTCTCACTCTCTCTAACCCTCTCTCTGTCTTACCTTCTTCTCAAACTCCTCACCCTGCTTCACCTCACGGGGATAGCCATCAATAAGGTAGCCCTTGGAGACGTCAGCCTTGGCGATCATGGCGTCCTTAATCATGTCTAAGACTGTGTCCTGTGAACATCACCAGTCCTTCAGTAACATCACGTCACATTTAAAACTGACTTACAGTCCAGACAGACGTTAGTTAGAGAATAACTTCAGTTAAGACATTTTTTTTTTAGTTTGTTCAGATTCAGGAGTCAATCCCAGCAGTCATCAGGAGAGGGCGTCCAACACACTCACGTTCATACCAATGGTCAAAGTAAAGGTTTGAAAACGTGGAGGAAGAAACTGTAGTGAACACAGAAAAACTATCAAACAGTCAACCTGGTGACCTTCTTTCTGTAAGGCAAGAGCACTAACCACTACTGCCACTTTGTGGTCGAAACTAAAACTGTCCCTCTAGAAAAAGAAAACCTGCCTGGACTTAGTGGTTGATGAAAAATATATACTGTATATATTTAAATATGAGATTTCAAGGACATATACAATGTAATATATTTATCTATATATGTTTAGGTGTTATTTTATCCAATCAGACAAAAGCGACCGATGACCAATTGTTTTTTATACAACTAGGAGGAGCGAAATTTATCTGTTTATTAAGGGAATTAAGTTTCCCCCTTTTTGGTCAATATTTATATATGGATATATACATATATAACATACAAATATAACATATAAATATAATATACACGTATATATATTATACGTACGTATATACCAACATACATTTCATATATATTCACATATATTTGTGTGTTATGTGGATATCTATATTTTCAATATATGTTGTTGTATATGCATATATATTTATATACGTATATATATTGTGGTTTTTATTATTATTATTCCATTGTATTTATATTGCTTTTATTTAGCCTAGTTTTTATTGCACACTCAGAAAAACTGCATGGGAGTCGAACCCTCAGCCAGTCCAGTCACCTACGTTAGGATTAACCTGGACTTCACAGAGATCTCAGCAGACAGGGCACCAACATTAATAAAAATGAGTTTTGTAAATCCACTGTGGTTCTCTGTCTTACCAGGGGCACCAGTTCGCCCTTCTGCATGATGGCCTGGAGCTGTTTGCCCCTGTCAGAGCCGGAGGCCACCTCCTCTCGGAGCAGATCTCCAGATGAGAGATGAGTGTAGCCATACTTTGCCACTATCCTCTCACACTGTGTGCCCTTTCCAGAGCCGGGTCCACCTGCAGAGAAAAGCCACCCGTCAGAGGTCACCTGTACTTCCTGCCGAGGGCGGAAAACACCGCGGAGACTCACCAACAACAAAGATGATCTTGGCGTCTTTAATTTTGTCTGTAAGAAGCAGAAAAACCGGTCAGAATGGGAGAGACGATGACCTGCGTGTCAACAGTCAGAACATCATTTATGACAGACCACTGCTGTGATGAGACACGGAGTCTGATGTGCATGTATTTCCCATTTCTCTCTAATTGTTATCGCCTGGTTCACTAAGCACTTAGTGACTCTGCTCGCTTTTGTTTGTACTATAACTCAAACATGGTTGCCATGGTAACTGTTGTCACATCAGAACACTGTGTAGCATAGTAGAAGCAGTTAGAGAGAAAAAAATCTGGAATGATTCACATCAGCACAATTTTGCAAATAATTAAAACAAAGCAATTTTTTGTTCCTTGAGTTATAATCATACTATTTTCGATTTTTTTATAAGACTTTTCAAATATTTAAAAAAAAGGTTTTTAACATGCCACAATACTAATATATTTCCTCACTAAAACAGCAGACACATCATGTGAGCGTGATATTAATGATTAATTTCGAAACGGACTTTTAGTGTAGTCTCACATCTGGCCAGCAGAGGGCAGCAAAGTCAAAGAAATCTTACTGATTCGCGGTTATGAGAGAAATGGGGGAAAAACATCCAAACACCGTCCATATGATTCAATCACAGTCAGAGTTTGTCACAGACGTGTGTCGGTTACCTGCCATCCTGTCGTTTGATGCTGTCTTTTAGCTGAAACAGAGAAGGAACACAGATTAGATTCACGTCAGTGAATGAACACGTGATGAACGGCGCTGATTGACGTCAACGATAATAATCTGTTACCAGAGCTCGCCATCATTCAAAGACGATAATGGCCACAGACGACAGTAGTTATATTTTAGAATTTGTGAAATTTATTATTTAAAAAACGTATTTTTATTTTTATGACTTGTAAATGAGACGTTGGCCGTGTTTTAAATCCCTCTTTTATTTGTTTTACGGTACATTTCTATTCCATGTCATAAAATGCAAAGTAGTGGACACAGTAACGGGTTCCGAATGAAGTGGCCAAAAATGTTATGATTCTTTTTTTTCTGTGTGAATGAGTCGTTTGGACACTTTTTTTAACTTTATTTGTGTATATTTTATGTAGCATTTTTACCATTTGTTTGTCAATAATTAGCCTACAGAGAATCAGGTGACTTGGCTGGAGAACCGCTCAGAAATATTTTTTTCATAAAAGTTACAGACAAACAGTAAACAAAGGCAACAGTCCTTTGATTGTACATGTGGTTACTTATAATCAAAGGAGTAAACACATGTCATACAGTAGTTGAACACAGAGGGACGCCACAGAGACTCGTTCAACATGAAACTGACTAATGGAGACAACCGTCTCACAGTTTCCTGTTTTACTCTCACACACTGTACTGGACATAAAGGAATGAGGAAGAGGCTCTGACCAGTGAAGGACTGACCCTAAAACAATCCAAATAAAACAACTCTGATTGGCTCACAGGAAGTAGCCCAACCACCAATACACCAGTCAGAGTGTTTAAACACAGTGACTTCTATCAGCCTCTTGTGTTTGCTCTTCAGCGTAGAGTGGGTCAACAGACTCGTACTGCACCGAGCCGTGTGTATTACTGTGTATATTACTCTGAAGTACTGTGTAAATGTTCTGTGACTTCAGTTTGACCTTTTCACAGTTTGTTCTCTGCAAAATGGCACTTGAACAGACGTGGTACCAGAGATACTTTAAACAGTATTCACTGTAGTTCTTTTCTTCACCTGTGTATTCTTTTTTTAAAAAGTCAAAAATTGTCTGATGAAACACATGTCAGACCCCCAGCAGGACCCCTCCTGACTCCTTTAGAGGCTGCTAACCCCCTGTTGGAGACCTTTGACAAACAGGATATCTTGTTGATTTCATGTGAATTTTAAGGATATTAACTGAAACATGTAAACAAAAAACAGGTAGACGTCCTAAAAATGCATGAAATAAAATATGAAAAAGAAATAAATAATTGTTGTTGCTGGCAGCATTAGCACAATGTGTGTAAATTAATCAAAAAGTTGAAACCTGGAAATAATATCAGGACAGATGCAGGGATCGTAAGAAAGGACGTGTCAGAGTGGACTAGTTTAGTTTAGTCCACTCTGGTCACTTTACACCACAGGTACATGACTTTTGACCCTAAACCCTGGGTTTTTTTTTTCTCTTCTTCAGTAGAAACAACGTTGTTTCTGTGAGTTAATGAAAAAGACTCACAGTGACTCCGACCGGCCCTTCCCCCCCCCCAAAAAAAAGAAAAAATTCACTGAGAGGAGGTTCTAATTGGACTGCCTGGAGTCCATAGATAGTCCATGAAAATCAGAGCAGGGTGACCTCTGACCTCTGACACGGTGCAAAAAATCATCAGGGTTTTCCCAATTATCACAGATAAGTCAGATAAATTGGTTATAAAATTCCAGCCTCAGTTAATGTTTTACAAACAGAATTATCTTTGTCAGCCAGGTCTTCGTGTCCGTTAAAGTCTCCGACTTTAGTTTCTGTGCCGTTAACGTGTTCTCTGATTCTCACCTGCTCCCTCCACTCCCTCTGCCCCCGGCTCATGTGTCCAGTTTTATGTCTTTGTCCACTTGCCCCACGGCCAGGGTAAATATCACAGTGTTCACAGAGTCAGCAGGCCACGTGTAAGGGATCCCTGCTCTGGCCTATTATGGCTCTGGACCTCCTGCTGCTCTGGCACGTCAGACCGATGTCACACCGGACCACAACGGTACGGTACGGTACGGTTCACTGCACTGAGGCTGCAGATGTGGTGAGAAATGTCAACGCAAGATTTCGTAACGAGGACAAAGACGTTTGAACTCCGCTCCACTGTAGGTCTCTGTCTCTTAATACTCAGTATTGCAGTACCATTTGCAGTACGTGGGTGCAACATAGTACTGCTATAAAACTGCATTAGAGTTGAATACGGTTTTTTTTAACTCCTTCAGATTGACGCCAAAAAGACGCCACCCTCCCAGGAGTCTCCACCTGAATGTCAAACCCACCTCCACCCTGACGTCTTCAACTTGATTTTCAACTTTTCATGGGGCCCGGCTAAAAAAAGCCCCCCTTCAGACTGCAGCTGTTGGGGGGATAGTGTGTCAGCCACGAGGGGAGCGACATTTTTAGTCCGCAGCCCCGGTGGTAAGAAGAAGAATAAAGAAATGAAACTGTTCTGTCTGTGCTCTTTGGTCTCACTGAGGGAGACCCTGTGCATATTAACCATGTTCTCAGAGTTGGTGTTACCGTCCCTTTAAGAGAAGACAGGGGACCCTTTGACGTCAGTGCAGTGGGAGATATTCCATGTTGCTTAGGAAAGGATGGAGGGAGATAAACGCAGTGCTCTGTGTGTGAGAGATATGAATTCTCAAAGCGTCTTCTGACCACAATCGATAACACTCAGCTAACGGTCAGCTGTTAATGACCACCGGGGGCTGAAAGCCCGGCAGTGAAGCCACAGCGTGAGCAGAGAGCAGGATGAACGGAAACACCGTTCAACCTGCAGCTGGAGGAGGTCGCAGCAATGTCATGAAGGGAGAAAAGCCAGGCAGGAGATACAGGGAAATGTTACAAATTAAATTTAAATAAATGTACATGTCCCTCCATGAGCACAGGACACAGTACAGTGTTGTCCTGTGGCATCAGCATGCAGGACAGGACACCAGAGACAGAGTGACCAATGAGCTGCAGCCTGCGTTCAACACGAGACAACGAGACAAAGTTTGCAGCAAAAGCACAAACAGTTCTACAGTTCAACAGTTCCTCTCCATCCCCTCAGACAGCCCTGCCCCCCCCCGTCTGTGACAGAGCGAAGACCCACTCCCTGCCATTTCCTGCCTCCTCTCCCTCCACGGAGCTGTTGTCCTCTCCTCTGTACTGACCTCTTTCTTTCCTGCCGAGGCTGTAGGTCTCAGTGCGAGGGGCTGCGGTGCCTGGATCCCCGTGAGTGTGAGTGTGTGTGTAGGTGTGTGTGTGTGTGTGTGTTGTGCGTCTGCACGGTTGCTGCTGCACGTCGGCCCTCCCTCCTTTATGCAAAGCCCTTTTATAGCTCAGCTGAGCCTGCTCAGCCTGCAATGCATTGTGGGTGAGAGGGAGGAAGGAACAGCTGAGAACAGGGAAGGACGGAGGGAGGGAGAGAGGGAGGGAGGGATGAATGACAGGAGGCTGGGGAGGTGAAACTAGAGGAGGGGGAAGTTTGAGTTTTGGTGATGATCTGACTTGTGTCAGACCGACTTCACATTCAGAGGAAAACAGCAGAGAGAAAAACTGAAGGATCACACAGCAAAGCTAACAGAAACATTAGCAGCAGGTACAGCTTTATGGACCGACTGTAGGTTTGTTTGTGTTACCAGAGCTGAGCAACATGTTCTTCAAGTCCTGCAGCTGCTGCTGGTGGAACAACTCTGGAACTGAGTCAGCAAATACTTGAAATATTGTGTGTGTGTGTGTGTGTGTGTTTTGTTTCACAATGAAACACAATCTACTGTAGATACAGTACGCCTCAGTAGTACTCGCACAAAGTACTACATGGCAGGGAATTCTTTTAAGCACCGCAGGTAGAGTAAGAAGGAATTTTCTAAAGAAATAAAAATAAAAAAAACAACAACTGTAGAATTAAATGAGAAATTTCTCCCATCAGTAAATATATACATATTTGCATATATAAATGCATTAAAAATACATATATGTATATACATATATTTCTATATGTGTAGATATATAAATATAGACATATACAATTAAAAAATGTAATATATAAATTTATATACATTTATATATTTATGTTCATAAATATATGCATATATATAAATATATGTATAAATAAATAAATATATTTATATACACACATATACATATATTTACATTATATATACATTTATATATTATGTTCACACATACATGCACATATATAAATATATGTATAAATAAATAAATATATTTATATACACACATATACATATACATGCATCAGTGCAGTATAATTTGAAGGATTCTGAACCACGGTTTGTACCAAGTCTATATCACCCCCTGCTGAGGAGGTAGGGGACTACATTTATTTTCTAAGTACAGCAGATCTGTGGTCAGTCCCAGCAGTCATATAAAAATGTGTACATATACACATATCATTCACACTCACATTCACGTCCATGGTGTATTTAGAGTGAGAAGACCCTGGACATTTGGTGGTCAAACTGGTGGTCGGGGGCTTGGGTTTGCCACAGATTCTGACCCACTTCGTTTTTTTTCGTATTTATTTTCGTATTAAAACTTAGCCCAGATGAACATCTGACATGTTTTATTAAAAGCATGAAGGGACGTGTCTCGTCCTCAAATGAAACATAAATACAAAATATTTACACATACAAATCATGGCCGACAGACAAACAGAAGCGTACCACTTAGTTTCTAAAAATGTTAATTCACAAAATACAGGAGAAAAGAGATTATTTAGAATGTCGCTCCCAATGTGTCGCGTATCAAAGACAGATGACGACAGAACCCTTAAAAAAAAAAAAAAAACCCCAACCCACTGGTTCTCAATTCAGCCCTCAGACATCCCTAAAAACGTACGAGGTACAAATATGAGGTATGCACTAATGTTAGTTTGAAATAACCCCCAAAAAAGTCTGAGTCTTATTTTCATTACACTCTGATTTTCGGTACCTTTCTAATGGGACTTCTCTGCAGTGTTTCAGTATTTTGGCCACACGGGGGCACTGCAACAGCACCTCAGAGCATACGAGTCAATACTGTTCACTCTATGGTCTTAAGAAAACTTTAATGCAGCCACTGTTTTATTACTAAGTTATTTGATGTCATGATACTAAGTCGAAGTCTGGTAACAGTCGGGCAGCAGCTAAAGATAAAACAGAAAACAAAAAACAGGCAGAAATGTATTTACCCCAGTCTTTAAAAATAAACAGCTACTTCTTTTCAATTACACCGAGGCCCTCAGTGACTCCAGGCTGTGTTGTTGTGTTAAAGTTGGTTTCACGTGGACTCTGACTGATTTGGCCTGTACCTTGACTCTGTCCAACAGCAACAGCAGCCTGGTCAACTCTGTCAGGCTGTTTCTAACACTGTGAGACGGAACAACAGCAGCTCTGGTAACGTTGTTGTGTCTGAAAAACTGAACTGACACTTTGATTTTATGTCAATGCATATATTTGAACTCCTCTTTTTGGTCTCCTTAATGACCTCTGTGTGACCCCTGAACCCAGACCTGACCCCAGCGCTGATTAAGGCATTTGTTAACGTCACTGTTTGTTATGACTTCACCCAGTCTTCACAGCCAACCAGCGTAACAGTAACCCTGCTGGTGTCCTGTTGAATTTTCACACATTTAAAAAATACCACACATAGTTTAATTTGTAAGGGCGCCACCTATTGCACTTTGATTTTTTTTCTGTGTATGTTCAATTTTTTTTTTTTTTTTTTAAGTGGCTCATCCTTGGGTCGTTTCAGTTATTTTTCTGCCCCCACTCACACTGAGTCCTAGCTGGACAGTCCTCCAGGTGCTTCAGGTTCTGGACTGGACTGGTCTCCGTCCTCGTCCTCTGTGGGCAGGTGGACACGCTGCTCGTCCATGCGTTTGGCCTGCACTCGCTGGATTAGACTGAAGAAGTCTTCATCAGGCACTGTGGGAGCGTGGGGGCCGCCCTCTGGTGGGGAGCACCGCTGGTCGTCGATCCTGGACGACTGACCATTGTAAAACAAAGTCACAGGAACATTAAGGTCACCCAGTTTATTTAGACGACAAAACTTTATCAAGAGGGGTTTTTTTTTTTTTTTTGCGGCAGTAGCAGGTCATCTCAGCCCCCAGGATAAACACACACACTAGCTGTCTCACACACTGCACTGCAGGTGAGTCTGATGCTGCTTAACACAACTACATTTTCAGTTATGAACGATGTAAACTCACTTCTCTGTTGAAGTCGCGATGCTGCTTAACACCGCTACATTTTCAGTTATGAATGATGTAAACTCACTTCTCTGTTGAAGCCGGTTTCCTTTTGGAATCAGCGTGACGCTGCTGCTAAGATTACAGATTACAGTGTTCCCTCTCTATATTTTGGTTCTTTTTCTTTGAATCCAATCTGTTTTTTTTTTGCTTTAAAAATGTGGATTCTAATTTTGAAATTGAGATAAGTGCGTTTGAAAACGATCGCTTTGTTTACTTTGACTAAATCGTACACAGCATACTATTGGCTAATTGAGCATGCTCTTCTGATCCTCACGTTGATTGGCTCATGCATCATAGCATCTCTCAGCATCGCCTCTTGTCTGTCGACCACTCTCTCGTTCACTTCGCTCTGCGTTTGTTTATCACACACACATTCATGAAGAACATTCTTGGCATCACTGACAGCACCATTAACCAACATGAAGCCGACTTCAGTACTGGAACCTTATGAGGTGTAAATTTCTGGGCTATAATAACCTCCGATGTTGTTCATTGATAAACAGACTGAGACACTTTAGGATGTTGATTATTTAGAGGACAGTAACAGTAACAGACCAACTCTGCCCCAATTTTTGAATCAATAGCAGCGATAACTAAACAGTGGCGGGTTGTTACTGTTTAAAGCACACATCAGAAACACTGTGGAGTAGATGACACGAGCTCCAGTACCTGGCACTTAATGAGCATGTTGAAGAAGTCATCACCGGGCTCCTGATGATCTCCCTCACCCACCAGGTGTCCCAGGTTGTTATGGGTGATCCTCAGGCCGGGGAGGTTCCCCACATTAACCCTCTGGTCGTCGAGGCGACGGCTCTGAGAGCTGGCAATCAAATCAAACAGCTCTTCGGTCTGAGGGGATGTGGTAATTGAAGGATCTGACAGAGAAAAGAGCAATGAGTGACGAGTGGAGTGAAGACAAAGTCCATTTGTCAAATGTCTGTCAAACATCACGATCAACTGACCGATCTTCTCGTTCAGAGGACCCACTGAATTTCCGGCTCCTTCTCCGTGCTCTCCGTTCTGGGCGTCATCGAGGTGGCAGCGCTGGTCGTCCATGCGGCTGCTCTGAAACTTGCTGAGGAGGTCAAAGAAGCAGTCTTCATCGGAGGGATCGCGGCCCAGCTTCTGAGGACACGAGGACACAGCGTCAGCATTGGACTCACGTGGAACAGTCTGTGTTTTTAACTTTATTCTAATTTAAAAAAAAAATTAAAATTGAAAAAAGACAGAGAAGTGGTTTCTAAAATGTCTGCAGCGCCTCCATTTGTAGACAGGACTATTGTCCCCTTCCCCCAATCCCCACTCTCAATGTCCAAACATTCAGAGCTATTGGTCAAAAACTCCACTGAATTTTATCTGTCATCTGTTTACATGTCAGTCCAAAATTGACACTGAAATTTATTTGGTCCAAAACCTGAAATATCCATGTCCCAAAGAGGGGGAGCGCCCCTCATTTTGGAACCAAAGATAAAGAGTTTGGGATTATCCAATAGGGGATGGTCATGTGACCATGTCGATGTTGAAACCAACGCTATTGCATTAAAGTATGACTAAAATCAAATCAAAGGTGTCAAAGTTTGAACATTAAAGCAAATTAAACACTTGATTATTTGCTACGTTTTATTCCATCAACAAACACCCGCTGTTTGTTCCACTTTACTCAAAGTTCAATCAACTGATTCTGTCTCTCCAATCAGTGATCAGCTGATCAATAATTCCACGACTGGAAAAAACAATTTGGACAGACGACTGATCGTCCGCTCACGTCCATGACCTTCTGCAGCTGCTGTGTGGGCGCAGATGTTTACAAACACAAATAGAAAATAATAAAAATAAGATCTTTTTTTTATTCAAAACTTCTGGAGAAGGTTTTAAGCAGAAGGACAACATTTACTCCCCCCCCCATACCCTTCACCCCCCATATAATAATACTGAAAATTCATCAGGTCTAAAGAGAGGAATTAAGATCTGATTAAAGCAGTGAGACATAAAAATACGCCCTGGGTGGAAGAACTCCTCATGTGGCGGGAGGGCAGATCACATCCTCTCCACTTCACCTTAAAGGTTTTTAAAGGATTTACTCAGGAATGTCTGAGGTCTGTGGACTGAGAACAGATAAGTGCAAAAAGTGCTGAGTGTGTTCTTTTTAAATCATGGGGCAGGGGCAGGGGCAGGAAGATATATTACTATGTCAACCATTAACCTTACGCTGTACGATATAAAGTAAGATTTAAAAGATTAACATAAGCCACTGCCTCTGAAGGAAAAGCACTGAGGTCAACTCAACCTCGACCAGTAATAATATAAAAAAAAAACATTTTAACATTAGTTTTAAAAAATATTCTTGATTGAAAAAAATATTAATAATAATAATCATAATATGAATAATACCACATTTCTAGATTTTCTTATATCTTCACAATGAAAATAAAAAAATGATGACTGATTGGCTGACTGAAAATTTATTGAATTCAATTTGATATAGTAATGAGTTTCTTTCGAAGTATAATATATATATAATAATGGAAAACCCTATAACGCAACGCCTGGGTTTCACCAGATGTCGTCACCAAAAAATAGTTAATAGTGAATTACTGTCATTGTGACACAACACACCACTGCACACAATAAAATGTTCAAACGGCTGCATCCATCGCTATCGGTGTTTCGACAATATCTGCATTTCAGATATCGGCAAAAAAGGTAACATCGGATGTAAACATGTCAGGTTAGCGTTAGCATTTAAAAGAAGTAGCCAACTCTCAATGAACAAAATGGTTTCTCAAATGAAGTTCTTCAATAAATTAACCTGTGGTTGCACCATTTTGTTTACATAGATCACTTTGCGATAACTGAGCTAACACGACATGTTACCATGGAAACTGTTGCGGCCAATATTTGCAACGAGCACAAAGTTCCTGAAACATAAACTTTGACAGAAGATCCAAGACTGACGGCTGAGAGCTGAGGTGGTGTCCTGGTCACAGACCTAAAAGTATTTGTTGCCCAATACTCACACATCAGGGAAATATTTGCAACAACACAAATTATACTACATACTGTAGTACTCCGACTTCCTGCAATCTCTGTTGTTCAGCCTAGTCATTGATTTTATTGCTCTGTGATGCATTTTGATTTCTTTCCTGTATTTCCTGTTTCTCCAGTGAACCGTCAGTTCGTTCCTACATTATTGAACAACAAAAGTCAAAGGACAGAGTATCGATTTTCCATGTGTTGTTCAGGTCAGAAAGGTTAGTCAAGTGTTCGTTCAAGCTGTAAATAAATCATCTCACCAGACGCACTCCTTCTTCTTTGTCCTCTCTCTATTCCACCGTCTCCCTCTTTGCCCTTCACTCTGTCCACACACACACTCACACACACACTTACCTCTGCCTTCTACTTTCTCCAACCACTTCCCATCAGCCTCACCCCGTAGTAAACGCCCTCCCACTGACTTCCTCTGCTCCAGTATCCCTGTTTCAGCCTTTTATCAAGCCATACCCTCTACCTACTCCTCTCTCCCTTTTCTCCTTTCTCTCCCCCTCCTTCCCTCCCTCCTTCCCTCTCACCCATTAGTCCATTTTTGTTCCGTTCATTCACTGTGGGAAAACAACTCATTATGAGAGCAGAAGGGGAGGGGGGAGTTGGGCTGACCCTTCCTTTTCTGTGATCAAGGTCACATTATCAGCAGAGCGAAAGACAGCAGGGGGAGAGGGAGCGGGAAATGAGGGGAGGTGCCAGAGAGAGAGAGAGAGGGACAGAGAGGGAGAGGGAGAGAGAGATAGTGAGGCACATCAACAAGTTAATGTACATTCAGTCACTGGTTCTGCCGCAGTGATGATGCCAACTGTTAAAACTGACTCTCCATGACAGTTATTCAGGCTTGGTTCACACTCTAGGTCAGGGTTGTCAAACTCATTCAGTTCAGGGGCCACATAGAGCCCAGACCAGCACAATCAAAACTAAATGATTACCTATAAATCACATAAAGTTCATGCCCCCACCCCCACCCTCTTGTTTCCCTGCAAATAAGTACAAGAACATTAGAAAATATTCATATTATGTTTGTGCATTTTTTTCTTTTAGTATTCACCAAGTGGGCCAGATTGAACCCTCTAGCGGGCTGGTTTTGGCCTGCGGGCCGTAGGTTTGACACCCATGCTCTAGGGAGGAGTGGACTCAATGTGATCCCCAATCCGACCAACACCACTTTCAAACGTGGTCGTCCTGGATCTGTCTTGTCACGTCATCCCACTTTTACGTCTTTTTATTTTACACTTTTACTCAATTCTGTGTGGGAGCAGCAGTGAACGTAGCAAATATAATGTAAATATCCACTCCCTGTACGAGAGGTGGCGACAGAAACAATGACATCATCAGGCTTCTGGTGGTCTGCACTAAAGGGGGACAAAGGCTCGGGACAGTAGTCTGTGACAGCCCCTTCCACAGAGGGTCACATGAACAAACTGACTGGACAACAACTTCCTAACTGATACACACACACACACACACACACACTGGCATGTATAGCATCCATATCTACTTTGTTAAATACAGCGTGTGAAGTCACATCTCAAGTGGGTCACTTCAGGCTGATAGACTGTTGACGCTGGAGTCTGATAGCTGCTGCAGCCTACAGCAGTTTCCAGTGACCTTGGAAGTGAGCTGGCTTTCACTAAACCTCACCTCCCTTCTTTTGAATGAGTCTAAATAATTGACTTTAACTTGATTGTGCTGAGATGCTGCAGAAAACACCGGTGCCACAGAGAAGAGCGGGCAAACGATAGAAAGAGATTGTCGCCACGTTTGAACGCCAAGCTAAGCCTCGCCGCAGTTACAGCTTATCTGGGTCATCTGAGTGGACAGTTAGCAAACGGGCTAACCACACAACAATAAATGTATCAACCTTATCACTCTGTATTTTTGTGTGTGCTGTACCTTTTTATTGTTTTATGAACAGGAAACAATCTTATCCTTTGTGCTAATAGTTTACAATAAGAGCAGATGAGGACTCAGATGAACCCAGACGTTAGCATAAAGCTGCTAAAGCTGCCTGTGGGTCATAGCACAGAGCCAGTGGCTAATCAAGTTAAAGAGCAATTTTTGACTATTTTAATTTATTTTACAAATTAAATGCATGTAGTTCTTCGTGGTTATGTTGTCATTAGCAGAAAGGTGACATTCACATGGCCTTTCACATGAGTGGTCAAGTCATAAAGTTCTAAGACAAATGAAATCAGGAAAATAATTAACATCTCTGGCTTATATATATATATATACAGTATATATATACATATATATATATATACATATATATATATGGTTTTGAATCCCTTCAGCTTCAATACTTTAGAATAATGACAAGTATATACTGATATACTGACTTAATGTTTGGCCATTTCCACACCATCAGTTCTGCTAATGCATATCTACTTATAACCGTACATCCTTTGTTTAAAAGATACAACACGTTCTGTATTAGACAGGCTGTTGGACTCATCTGACCTCAGGACAGTTTTTATGGTCTTTCGTTCTTTCTGAGAAAATGGTGATGTGACAGAAAATGGTGGTGATGTGACAGTGATTTGGGTTATCAGCTATCAAATGTCACATTCATGGAGAAACTAGTTCACTGTAAATGGATCACTGCTGCAGTTTAATCAGATGATACCTGTACAGCTGACATCTCACATCATCCTGTATGAGCTCATGGGAAATTAACAAGAACCAATTTAATCTCTACTTTTCCCCTCATCATTGCTCCATCACGTCTTTGAGCGAAAGAAACAACCATAGGATGGATTGGAGGATTTTAAAGTCCAGAACAAGTGGAAAAAAAACAAAGACAGACACAAAAGTGTGTACCATATTTTCCAAACTATAAGTCGCACTTGTTTTCATCCTTTGGCTGGGTTTGCTTGTACTCAGGTTTATTAAAATATATACTTTCACGTTTGTTATTTTCACATTGACAACCACTAGAGGGCACTGGTGCAACTTATACTCTGGAGCGACTTATATACGTTTTCTTTCTCCTTCATTATGATATTATTGGCTGATGTGACTTATAACCCAGAGCAACTCCAGTTTTGACATCATAATTCGGTAGATTTTTGTTACGAAAATGTTTGTTTTTTTCCATGTATTAACAAATGACAAATATTAAGGTTGTCAAAATAACCTCAGTATTATATATGGTTGTGGTTTACGTTAAACGCTAAAATCTTCCCAAGCAGCAGTTCTAAAAGAGATTTCTTTCATGGAATATATAAGACTCATCTGGGCTAACTGCTAACTGAGGAAAAATCGCATGAGTGTTGTCATAGCCAAAGCTAAACAAGCAGTAAAGATGAAAAAGCCACTCACTGGCACTGGAGGTGGAAGTTGCACAGTGATGTCATCAGTGTCCACGGGAGAGTCCAACCAGGGTCTCTCATCTGACGACTGACTGTCGGGGTAGCCTTTCCTCTTCCCAGGCTGGGACGGGTGACTCTTGGATCTCCTCGGAACGCTTTCCAGGTCTTGGTTCTCACCATTCTGCAAAATAAGACCTTTTACTTCTGCTGAAGGTTTTCCCTGGTGTGTGTGTGTGAGTGTGTGTGTGTGTGTGTGTGTTTGAGTGACTCATATTCCCATTGTAATTCCTGAATGGTGGACTGAGGGACCAGAGAGAGACTTCACCTTGTCTGAAGAGAACTTCCACAGTTCCACACTGTCCATGCTGTTTCTCTTGGTGAATTTGGGTCTGGCTCCTACAGGAATAGAAATCAATGTAATGAATATGAAACTCAGACTATGACGATGAAGATGAAGATAAAGGAGAAACAATGTGAGTAAAGACTCCTCCTGCCTGGCTCTGCACCACAGAGGGAGATGTAGAACAGGAGTGTGAATACTTGCTTGGCGAAAGAGTTCATGAAGGAACACACACACACACACCACGCAAAAACCAAACTGGTAACAGAGAACACACACTACAGAGATTCTGTGCTTATTATATAACTATTAGGTTATAAAGAAAGGTGGAACATTTAAGGGAAAACA